AGGTGGTTGAGGCAGTCCGCAGCGGGAGGCTCAGGGCCCGGCGGGTCCCCGCGCACCTGACGCCAGCGGAGGCGCGCGAGCGCGGGCTGCGCGAGCGGGGCCGCCTGGGCAACGCGGCGGCCGACGGCAACGCTGGGGCAGCCGCGGCGCAGCGCGCCCCCCCACCAGCAGCTGTGGCCGCGCGCCGCAGGGAGCTCGAGCAGCTGGAGGCCGCGCAGCGCGTGCTCGCAGCCACGCAGCTGGCTGCCCTGGCGGCGGCGCCGCCCGCCGCCCGCCGCCGGCCGTGCGACTGGCGCAACGTGCGCCGCGGGACCCGGGCCCGCGCGGCGTCCGCCCCGGCGGCCGACGCCCCCGCTGGCCGGGCGACGCCAGCGCCGACCTGTCCGCGCCGCAGCGGAACGGACGCGCCCGTCAGCAGTGGGGACATGCTGGCCGCGTTTTTCGCCGGCCGCTCGTGGTGGCCCCACGCCCTCGCGCACGGGCCGGGCCACGTCATCTGCCTCCGCTGCGGCGACAGTTCGGCATCGGCAGCAAGCATGCTGGGGAGCGCGTGTCCGGGTTGGCGGGGGCGTCTGCCGGCGCGGTGCCAGGCGGCGCTGCTCCTTGGGGAATTGCCCCGCGCGGGTGGCAGCGCGGAGGCGTTTGCATGCTTGGCGGCGCAACGCATTGCGCAGCTCCCAAAGGTCCCGGATTGAGCCTTTGGGCGGGGTCGAGCGCCGTGGCTGCGCGTTTGCTCGATTTCGCACGGGAAAAAAGCGTATGCATCTATCTATGTATGTATGTACGCACGTATGTACGTATGGGTGTACGCATGTACGTATGGATGTACGTATGTATGTTTGTATGTATGTGTTCTTGTAGGTACGTATGTATGTTTGCATACACGCATGTGCGTATGTATGTATGTACGCATGTATGTATGTATGTATGTACGTATGTTTGCCTGTATATATGTTTGTTTGCATGCATGTATGTATGTACGTGTGTATTCATGTACCCACGTATGGATGTTTGTGCGTACGTATGTATGTATGTACGCATGCATGTATGTCTGGATGCTGGTATGTATGTATGTACGTATGCATGTACGTATGTATGTATGTCATTATGTGTGTATGTATATACGTCCGTAGGTATATATGTACGTATGTATGCATGTATGTTCGTATGTATGTACGTTTGTATGAACGTACGTATGTATGTATGTACGGATGTTTACACGTATGTATGTATGTACGTACGTATGTATGTATGTACGTATGTATGCACATATGTATGTATGTACATATGTATGTACGTAGGGATCTTTGTACGCATGTATGTCGGTTTCTATGTACATATATATATGTATGCATATACATATATATATATATACGTACGTACGTGCACACGTATGTATGTACGTACGGATGCATGTATGTACGTGTGCATGTATGCATGCATATATGTACGTACGTATGTATGTTTGTACTCATATATGCATGTATGTACGTATGTATGCAGGCATATATGATTGTATGTATGTACTTGCGTATGTATGTACGTATGTGTGTATGTACGTATGTATGTATGTATGTCTGTTACTACGTATGCATGTATGTATGTACGCATGTACGTATGTATACATGTGTGTCTTTATGTATGTTTGTACGTCTGTATGTCTGTATCCCCGTATGTACGTATGTATGTACGTACGCACGTATGTACGTATGTATGTCTGTACGTACGTGTGTGTATGCACGTATGTATGTATGCATGTTTGTATGTTTGTGTGCATGACTGTACGTTTGCATGTATGTACGTATGTATGTATGTACGTGTGTATGTGTGAATGTCTGCACGTACGTATGTATGTATGTACGTACGTATGTATGTATGTATGTATTAATGGTTGTATGTATGTATGTACGTACCTATGCATGTATGTATGAATGTGCGTGCGTACGTCTGTATGTATGCATTTAAATAAGTATGCACGCGCGTATGTATCTATGTATGTATGTATGTATGCATGCATGTATTCATTCATGTTTATAACACTGATGTGTGTATGTATGAGTGCATGTATGTATAACCGTATGTGTGTGTACGTATGTATAGATGTATGTATGTACGTATGTATGTATGGACGTATGTATGTACGTACGTATGTATGTATGCATGTATCTACGTATGTGTGTATGTACGTATGTTTGCATGCATGTACGTATGCATATATGTATGTATGTGCGTATGTCTGTATGTATGAATGAATGAATGTATGAATGTATGTGTGTATGTATGTGCATATATATATATATATATAGTTAAAGAGACCGCCCTCTGGCCTGGGGGCGCCCAGTCCGCAACCATCCAGGAACATTTTTTGATACCCTCTGGCTTGTTCCCAGAGGCAGCCCGGAGAGCCCAGAGGGCTCCAGAAAGTGCCCAACAGGGTCCGAGAGGCTTCCAGGACAGCCAAAGAACGCTCCAGATGCCCAAGATGGCCCCAAGACGGCCCAAGAGGCCCCAAAGAAGCCCCAAGAGCGCTCGAAGAGGACCCCCAAGAGGACCCAAAGAGGCACAAATCAGTGATGCTCCTTGCGCTTTTCAGTGTTTTTCGTGTCCTCGCGGTATTGGCTTCCAACATTCTTAGATGGCCCCAGAGGCCTCCAAGACCGTCCAAAGACGGCCCAATGGGCTCCCAACAGGGCCCCAAGGCGGTCCAAAAAGGCCCAAAAACGGCCCAAGAAGGGGCCAACACCGTCCAAGAGAGCCCCAAGATGGCCCGAAATGGGGCCCAAGAGGGGTGGCACGAACCGACAATTCGAGCGTTCTGCCCGAAGAGGCCCCCTGGAGGCCCAGCCCCCGAGAGAGCCCCAGAGGCCCCCTAAGGTACCCAAGAGGCCTCCAAGAGGAGCTCGAAGAAGCCAAGTAACATGTATTTTCCATTTTGGTTTTTGAACAATTCTGGCGCTTCCGCCTGTTCCGCTTCCCGGCGCTGCAAGACGCCCCAAGAGGCCCCGAGGATCGCCCCAAGACGGGTAATAGGCTTCAAAAGCGGCCTAAGACGACCCGAAGACGGCTCCAAAACAGCCGAAGAGACGTCTAAGACGGCCCGAGAGGCCCAAACCGCGGCCCAGGATCGGGAACGTGAGCTGAGAACCCGAGATTCTCGCCCCAAGAGACCCCCAGGAGGCTTCAAGAGGCCCCCAATAAGCTTCAAAGAGGCCGCGAAGAGCCCCGAAAGAGGCCCCGAGGGCACTTCAAAAAAGGAATTCCGACATTTTGTTTTTCAAGCTCGCCTGGTAGCTTGGCTACGCTTGCAAACATGGGAATATCGTATCTCCTCCTTCTCCTCCTCCTCTTCTTCCTTCTCATGTTCCTCCTTCTCTGCGGCCTCCTCCACCTTCTCCAACTGTTCATCTTCCTCCTTCTCCCCCAGGGAATCCCTTCACCTCCCCTTTTCCTCCCTCGACCTCCGGCTGCGTCCAGCCGCGGCGAATAGAAGGTCCCGCAAAGTGCCTCTTGGGCCTGCCTTGGGCCGCGGTGGGTGGACCATAAGAAGTCTTGGAAGCCACTTGGGCCGGCTTCGTGGTTCTTGGAAGACCCAGAGAAGAAGTGTATCATAACAAAGAGATCCTCAAGAGTTCGACCATCCAGCCTGTTTAGAACTTGAGCGCGCGCAAAGCGCGCGCGATGGTTCTAGTGTAATCTTCCCCGGTCCCTATCACAGAGTGCAGTTTACGTTTCGAGTTCCGCCCGCCCGCCCACTGGGCGCCCCGCTCGTCGTCGGCGTCGTCGTCATCGTCGCCGTCGCTCTCGGGAGCAGCCCCTGCTCTCCTCCCGCCCCCCGTCCTCCTGGAGGTTCGAGGCGGGGGTCAATGCAAACGGGGATCAGCCAGAGCGCCCGATCTTGCAGGATCCCGCAGGGCCAGGGTCGCATTGACCCGGGTTTGGGTGCAGGATCCTGCAAGGCTCGACTGACCCGGGTGTGGATTGACCCGGGTCAGCAGATCCCCGTTTTGGGCCGAAAGGAGCGGTCCCTTTCGGGGGAAGAAACATGTTGACCATGGCCAAGGTGTTGTGGGATTTTGTCGACGCCGATCTCGGTCATGGTCCATGCCGGCCGTCGCCGATTCGCGAGGATGATGCACGAATTGACACGACGTTTCCGCGTTCAGTCAGGGTCCCCCATTCTTCCCCTCCACCTTGACGTTGCCACTCAAAAAGCTGAGCCCCCAGAGATCTCGACTTATTCCCCCGGACTGGTTTCTCATCCCAAACGGTTTTTTGACGGTCCCGATGCCGGGTAAAGGGCCCCTGGAGGCCGAAACAACAGAAAAGAGTGCAAATCAATGGAGGAACAGCCACCCGGACCCGGGCGTTTACCAAACAGCCCTGCCCTGTTTGAATCGTTCTGTGGGTTCGTTTACCAAACGGCTTCGCGTGTCAGGGTGCTTACTATCGGGGTGGATTTCCTGCCCTCTGCTAGCAACACCTCCTGTCGTGTTTTTTTAAGGATCCGCCTCTCCGCATCTGAGAGACGCCGCGGGGGCTCCCCGCGCCCCGCGCGCGCGGCGAGGGATGAGTATACGGGGAGAGCAGGCAGGGGGGGCATAACATTCCCTCAGAAGTCGGGAGGGGGAACCCCATCGCGTCTTGGAACCAAAATTAAGTCGGGCATGTCCCTCTACAGGGGGAATATTCACAAATAGTCAAAATAGTCTGGGCACGGTTTTTTGATGTTTTGGGGGTAATGTTCTAAAGACATGTTTGTTTCGGTTTTCGTCCAAAATCCGCCTGTAGGGGGACACGCCCGACTTGAAAAACAACAACCGCGACTGGAGGTCTTGGGTCCGTTCTCCGCCTCCGGGGGCCCTCGCAGGGCCCCGGGGCCGTCAACGGGAGCGGTTCCCCGCGGACGGTCGGCCCCCGCGGAACCCAATCTCAAGACTCCTCCCCCCTCCGAACCCGCGGGACGCCGCGGGAGGCGCCCCGCGCCCCGCGCGCGCGCCCAGGAGCCCCCGCGTCGTCGCGGAGGTCTCCACCGCGCTGCGCCTCTGGCCCGTGCATTTCCGCCTGGCCTTCGCGCTGCGGCAGGCACGCCATGCACGCCGTGGCCGCCCGGGGCGCCCCGGGGGATTCATGCGGGGGGGCAAGGATCAAGTCGGGCACGTCCCCCTACAGGAGGAAAATTTGAAAATAGTCAAAGAACGGTCTGGGGACGTTGTTTTGAATATTTTTGTTCATTGTTGGAGTATTTTTTGTCTATTTTTTCCCAGTCCTCCTATTGTTGGGGTACTCCTTTTGAATAGAGCAGTGTGGTCGCCCCATCCTCCTCCTCCTCCCCTCTCCTCCCCTCTCCTCCCCTCCTCTCCTGTTTCCTGTGTTCCCCTCTCCTCTTCTCTCGTGCCGTCGGGCTTGCGATCTGCGCAACCGTCGCCACTTTCGTGGGCTCCCGGGAGGCCCAGCGGAGGTGGGTCCCACGCGGATCACCTCGGTAGCTCGCCGCCCCCTGGGTGGCTTGCGATCGGCGCAACTGTCGACACTTTCGTGGGCTCCTGGGAGGGCCAGCGGAGGTGGGTCCCACGCGGATCACCTCGGTAGCTCGCCGCCCCCTGGGTGGCTTGCGATCGGCGCAACTGTCGACACTTTCGTGGGCTCCTGGGAGGGCCAGCGGAGGTGGGTCCCACGCGGATCACCTCGGTAGCTCGCCGCCCCCTGGGTGGCTTGCGATCGGCGCAACTGTCGACACTTTCGTGGGCTCCTGGGAGGGCCAGCGATCACCTCGGTCTCGCCGCCCCCTGGGTGGCTTGCGATCGGCGCAACTGTCGCGCCACTGGGCTTCGTCCTGGAGGCACAGCGGAGGTGGGTCCCACGCGGATCACCTCGGTAGCTCGCCGCCCCCTGGGGGGCTTGCGATCTGCGCAACTGTCGCCACTTTCGTGGTTCCTTGGAGGCCCAGCGGAGGTGGGTCCCACGCGGATCACCTCCGTAGCTCGCCGCCCCCTGGGTGGCTTGCGATCGGCGCAACTGTCGCCACTTTCGTGGGCTCCTGGGAGGCCCAGCGGAGGTGGGTCCCACGCGGATCACCTCGGTAGCTCGCCGCCCCCTGGGGGGCTTGCGATCGGCGCAACTGTCGACACTTTCGTGGGCTCCTGGGAGGCCCAGCGGAGGTGGGTCCCACGCGTGTCACCTCGGTAGCTCGCCGCATCCTGGGGGGCTTGCGATCTGCGCAACTGTCGTCACTTTCGTGGGCTCCTGGGAGGCCCCAGCGGAGGTGGGCCCCACGCGGATCAACGTTGCAGGCGCCAAGAGACGCATCCAGAACCTCCGCCGCAAGCGCTGCGAGACGCAGGCCGAGGAGGACAAGGCAGCCGTCGAGTCCGAGAAGGCCAAGCACTTGACAGAGCACCCCGACATGAAGGGGCAAGTGGGCCAGGCCTACTCGAGCGCAGGTGACAAGCGCAGGATCGCTCTCATCAGTATCTCCGCAGTCGAGGGCTGGTTCGACCCGAGCAGGGGGCCCAAGTCCGCCGAGAAGCGCGGCGCGCTCCTCGCCCCCTGCGGAAGGCGCTGCCGAGCGAGCGACTTGAACCTCGAAGAGGGCACCTGGCGGCGCGACGCCACCTGCGAGCGGGGCGACGGCGAGGCGGGGCGCTTCGGAGCAGGCGGGCCCCTAGGAGCATTGCTCCAGGGCTGGCGCAACGCCCTGCCCGAGTTCTCCGAGGAGGAACGCGCGAGGGTCTTCGAGGCCGTTGACGCGTGGGGGCAGCCCAGGGCCTGTGCGGACGAGCTCGTCGCATCCTGGGCCGTCGACTTCACCAAGCAGCAGCGCGGCCAGAGCCTCGTGTTCGCAGACTGCCTCTCGAGCCAGGGGACCGAGGCAGTGGCGCTCCGAGAGTGATTCGAAAATGCGTGGTCTACGCGCCCGTGGCCCCCGACGTCGCGAGCGTCTTGCAGGGGCCGGGCATCCGCGAGCGCGGTCTGTTCAAGGCCATGATCCGAGAGGTCAAGGCAGAGATGCATTGGGCCATGGTGCAGGACTGGATCCAGAAGGCCAAGGTAGAGCCCCAGAAGCAGTGCAAGCTTCCGACCCAATGGGGGCCCTACGAGTGCCTCTACTGCGTCTCCGAGGCCTACGCCCGCTTCCGCGAGAAGAGCAAGGGCGCTGCGCCGCTCCATGGGCTGCGAGGGGACCAAATGCTCGCGGCCCGGCCGACGGAGCAGGGCGAGCTCAAGGTCGTCGCGGGCGTGGAGTCGTGGAGCTACTCCGTCGAGCCCGGCCGCGGCGTCGATCAGAGCCTGGCGAGCGAGCGCCTGGAGGAGGCGCAGAGGTTTCCCGAGGGCGTGCCGCCCGTGCCCGAGTGGAACGCCCTCGACGGGAGCTGCTTGCACCAGGGCGACTTGCCCAATGACTACGAGCAGGACCAGAACCCCTGCCTCCTGGAGCTCCGAGAACATGACCTCGAGCTCGCCGACGAGCAGAAGGACATACTCAGAACGCCAGAAGGGCGGATCAAGGAGATCCAGTTCCCGCGCGCCTTCGAGAACCGAATCAAGGTGTCGCGAACAAGTCCACGCAAGAGCAAGTGGGCGTCCAAGTTGTCGGGCCAGTTCCTGGGCAAGCTGCGGCGCAAGTGGCAGCGCGCGAAGGCTGAGACTTGGCGGCGGGGCATCGGTTGAGCACCGAAGCCGAGGCGTGGCCCAGGCGAAGCTCACGGGCAGGCCGCCGAAGGCCAAGGCGAGCTTCTCCCGGGAGTTCATGGCCAAGGCGCAAGCGGACATAACGCCAAGCAGAAAGCGAAGACCAAGGCGAACACAGGCCACGAGGCTTGCGAGGACTTTCCATGGCACGGCAAAAAGGGCCCGCGTCGCCGAGGAGGGGGTCCGCGAGGGCAGGCGCGGCAGAGTGCAGGACGTCTGGCGGGTCTTGGGCGCCGAGGACGCGCGCCGCCTGCGCGTCCACGAGGTGGGAACCGCGGCGATCTTTCAGGCCGACAGCAGCGAGGCTCGGGGGCTCACAGGCACTCGCGCCTGCTTCCGCCCGAGGCGGCGGAAGCAAGCGGGAGCTCGCGGGAGCGGCGGAAGCGACGGCAGAAGTTGGCGGAAAGCTGGCGGCGGGGGCGGCGGCGGATTTTTGACGCCGCGACGCGGAAGCAGGCGGGAGCTAACGAGTGCCCGTGAATCCCGAGCGCCACGGGTCACGATCGAGTAGGACTACAGGTTTCCCGAGCCGCGCGCGCTCGACTGGCGCCGCGCCAGACTGGCTCGCCGCGCCGAGCTCGCCAAAGAGTACGCGATCATGACCTGCGAGCAGATCGTCAAGGGCGACGCCCTCGAGTTGGGCACATTGCGCGCGCTGCTGGGCGAGATCGAGGAGCGCGTGGGCGCCCCCGGGGCCGTCCTGGCGGTCGAGCCCGCGGCGGCCGTCGCCTTGGCTCGAGAGGGCCAGGGCGAGGGCGAACCCGCCGCCCAGCAGCCCGAAGAGCAGAAGCGCGTGGCCGAGAGTCCACGAGGCCGAGCACGTCCTGATCTGCGTGCACCCCGAGGCGCCCGCGCACTACACCACCCTCAAGGTCGGTGGTTGCTACAGTTGTCCGTGCCCCAAGGCGCCCCCAGTTTTTCGCTCCGTTTCGGAGCGAATCCTGGAGGCGCCCTGGGCAGGGGGCACTTGTAGCAACGCCCGCCAAGGTCTCGAGGGCCAGCGGGGGCGTCGCGGCGGAGTGCCGCGGCGCCCTCAAGCGGCCGTCCGAGAACGCCAGGCAGGCCTGAAGGGCCACATGCGAACTCACACCTACACCCCGCGATTTCTGAAAAGGGGGAGGTCGGGTTCACTCTGCTCGGGAGCTGCCGAGCGAAGTGAACCCCGCCCTCCTCCTCAGCAATCGCGGGTCGGGTTCGCGCATGGCCTTCCAGGGCCGCCGCGAGGATCCGCCGCGAGCTCGGCGCCGCTGGACCTGGCGAGGCAAGCCCTGCGAGGGGCAACGCGATGTTCCAGGTCGACGCCTGGTCCTGCGGCCTGTGGGCGCGTCGCTGGATCGAGCGCGCTCTGCGCGGGATCTGAGGCGAGGGCCGCTGGGCGCCCGCGAGCATCAGCGCGATGCGCGCCCGAGGCAACGAGTGGGTCAAACACCTCATGGGGACCAGCGGCAACGACTTGGCCAAGGCCAAGGCCATGGCAAAGGCCAGGGCCGAGAGCAAGGCCAAGTTCAAGCCCTTCAAGGACCCCGCGGCGGTAGAGCCGAAGCACGCCACCTTCGAGGAGGCAAGCGCTGCCGCCCAGGCCTGCGCCGAGTGCTTCCCGCGCAAGCGCGGCCCCAAAGGGCGCCGAGCCTGTGTGGGCGAGTGGTTCGAGGTCGTTCGCAAGAGAGGTTTCTTGGCCAGGAGCGCTTAGGACCTCTCTTGCGCGGGCAAGTTGCAGCCGCGAGACTCGAGATCTCTCCAGTCAGTCTTGCGCCGAGATCTGCAAGGTCAGTCTACGCTAGCGCCCGGGATCATCGTCGTCATCATCATCACAGTCGCCGGAAAGATTGTCGATTATCCCCGCCAGACCCCCGAACTTTGTCATCCCCAGGGGATTACCATCGGGGGCAGTCGGTTTCCCCCCCCATCTCTCCCGGGAAGTCCTCTTCCAGGGGGGCTTCAAAACCGAGCGGAAGGAGCCGACGCATATAGAAACAAACCGGCGTCAGGGGAAGGCGGGAAGGGGGCGGGAGAGGGGGGCCAGGAGGGCGCGGGTGCAGGCCTCAGAGAAAATTCGCGAACGCTCGGGCCCCGCAGTCTCCGGCGCGCTGGCCAGCTTTGATTTTTTCTCGGGGGGGGGGCCTCCACTGATAGGTTTTCTTTGCCTTCGGGCGATCGCAAACGTGGATCCAGGGGGCATGGCTTGGCGACGCGGTCCCGCTCGCTTGGGGAATCGCGAATTTCCGCCGCCGAGCGAGGCGGCACCGGTCGCACTTCGGGGAGGTGCCCCCATGGATCGCTCATCCATGTTTGCGCGCCCCCGATACCTTGCGGACATGACCGCCGCTCGTGATCCCCGGCCTCTTCTCTGGCGCACCCACGCGCCCCGCGGTTCCCGCGGGCGCACCCGCGGACGTCGTCCATGGGGGCAGCAGCCGGCCTCTCCGTCACCCTGCTTTCTTTCGGGCATAGCTGGGACGCCAGGTAAGGGGACCAGGTTACTGGTAGGGCCCTGGAGCTTGTAAATAGGTCAGAATCATTAAAAACCAGGTCTGCCGTAGCTTGTGTTTTTTCGGGTGACGGCGGTTCCGGTTAGTGCAACGGGGCGGGGGGGGCGCCCCCCAATACACATCATTAGTCCAAATCCCACTAAACCCAGTTCAACCAACGCCCGATTCCTGGCGCCCCCTTCGGCGGACACTTCTGTCGGGGGAGGCCAAAAGGGGGGTGATGATTGATGGGGAATGGAGACATCATGGTGGGGTCCAAAATCTTTCTTCAGTTTTCATGGCGCCTCTTCTTGTTTCAATGCGTTCCTGGGCCCCCCCTGGGCAGCGCAAGTGCCGATGGCCATGTCTTGCGCCCCTCCCTCTTGGACGCCCCCCTCTTGGCCGCCCCCGATGTTGGATGGATTTCCCAAGTTCTCCGTCGCCTCAAGCGGTGTGCGGTCAGAGCAAAAACGCAGCAACGCCCCACGAAAAGCGTAGCCTGCGCGTTCCTGTTCTGACCCCGCGCACCGCTTGTGGCGGCGGAAAGCTCGGGAGATCCACCCAACCATTGGCGGGCGCACCCGCGGACGTCGCGCAGGCTCCCGTAGGCCCCAACCGTCGCCCTGCCTTACTGGACCCCCCCCGGCCTTCGGCGGGCCCGAGGGAGGCTGTTTGAGTTTCGGGGGGGGCCCACGCCGCGGATAGAGAGTCCGAGATGCTGGGCGTCGCCCGAACTCTTCACGCCGAGGCGCGGCACGGTTTCTCTCTTTCTCTCGAGGAGCAGGCGGGAACTCCACTTTGTTTGTTTGGTGTTTCTCGCAAGTCTTCTCTTTCCTTTGCAGTCGCCAGGTGGACACACTGCACATGGTCTTAAGGGTCCAAAAAAGGTTTTCCGGCCGCGGCCACTCAAATTAGCTTGGCGGCGTTTTCTCTCGAGGGGCACTCTTCGGGCACATATGACATAGGGCTGGCCGAGGCTCGCGCCGTCGCCCTGCGTCCACAACCAGGACTTCGCAGCCAGGATCTCCTCCCTCTCAGTCTCAACTTCTTCCTCGCAGTCACGATGCACGTCTGGATCTTCCAAGAGGCCATGGCCTCCCGACTTGGTCTCAACCGTTGGGCCTGGGCGGCTATCCGCAGAGGTTGTTCGTCCATCGTGCGTTCGATTCGTTGCGTTCATGGAGCTTCGGACGCCGTCTCCGCATTATCCGCAGCATCCCTTCCCCGCGTGCCCAGGACGGCCTGGACTGGCTGAGGGGCCACGCGGAGGAGCTCGTGCCTTCCCTGGAGCAGGGCGAGGCCGCTTAGGGGGGGAGGGGGGAGGAGGAGGATGATGATGATGATGATGATGATTATGAGGAGGAGGAGGCGGAGGAGGAGGAGGAACAGGAGCATGAGCAGGAGCAGGATGACGATGAGGGAGGAGGAGGAGGAGGAGGAGGAGGAGGAGAAGACGAGGAGGAGGAGGAGGAGGAGGAGGAACAGGAGCAGGAGCAGGAGCAGCATGACGATGAGGGAGGAGGAGGAGGAGGAGGAGGAGCAGGAGGAGGAGGAGGAGAAGACGAGGAGGAGGAGGAGGAGGAGGAGGAGGAGGAAGAAGAGGCAAGCTAACCAGATTGAATGCGTCAGCGCGACCCGCCCATTCCCACCCGCCCTCCCATAATATAGAAAATCGAGTGTGGCACAGCTTGAGACTGGAATTGGCAAGGGGAGAGGAACGCGAAACGGGCCGCGCAAAGGCGGGACCGGCAAAACTTCATATGGCCGCGACGAAGACCAACATGCGCCACGCGGAAACAGCACGTGCCACTTCCACGCACAAGCTGCGCGGCGCCCGGGCGAGGACAGCACTTCGCCCGCCCTCGCGCGGGTGCCGCTGCTGCCGCCGCTTTCTTGCGGTTCGGCGAGCGAAACACGCGCCGCGCCCGCGCAGGAATGCCACTTCCATGCGGAATGCGCACGGAACTTTGGCGAAGGCGACACGTCGCCCGTTCGCGCGGGCTCCAGACATTTGGCGAGTGAAAAGTGTGCGCCGCGCAGAGGTGGGAGCGCCAGTTCCAAGCGACGTGTGCGCGGCGCCGAGGCGAGAGCGACATGTTCGCCCGTTCGCTCGCCCATCCGATTTACGAAAGACAATGCAACATGTATTTCCAAACCCGTCCTCGTCCTCTCTTCTCCTCCCTCCTTCCTCCTCGTTATCCTCCTGCCTGTCGTTTTCTGCTTTCCTCCTCGTCTTCACCTCGCAAGTCCCTGGGGGGGGGTGCGGTCTTCGCAACTGTCGCCACTTTCGTGAGAGTCCCAGCGGAGTGCAGTTGTCAACAGATCGCCTTCAGACCTCGCAGCTCCCTGGGGGGTTTGCGATCTTCGCAACTGTTGCCGCTTTCGTGGGCTCTTGGGAGGTGGGTGTAGTTTTAAGCAGATTTCGTTGAGATCTCTCAGTTCTTTTGCGGGGGCTGTGAACTGCGCCCTTGTCGCCACTTTCGTGGGTTCCTGGGAGGTCCAGCGGAGTGGAGTTGTGAACATATCGCGCTGAGACCTTGCGGTTCCCTGGGGGGGGGGCGATCTTTGCAACCGTCGCCATGTTCGTGGGCTCCTGGGATGTCTAGCGGAGTGCAGTTGTAATCAGATCGCGTTGAGGCTTCGCGGTCCTGTGGCGGGGGCTGCGATCTGCGCAATTGACGCCGTTTCCGTGGGCTCCTGCGAGGTCCAGCAGAGTGGAGTTGTGAACAGATCGCGGTGCGACCTCACAGATCCTTGGGGGGGGTCTTCGCAACCGTCGCCACCTTCGTGGGCTCCTGGGAGCCCCAGCGGAGTGGAGTTGTAAACTGACCGCGTTGAGACCTCGCGGTTCCTCGGCGGGGCTGCGCTCTGCGCAACTGTCGCCGTTTTCATGGGCTCGTGGGAGGTCCAGCAGAGCGGAATTGACAACACATTGCGTTGCGATTTCGCGGGTCTCTGGGGGGGGCGATCTTCGCAACCGCCGCCATTTTCGGGGGGGCTCCTGGGAGGTCTAGCGGAGTGCAGTTGTAAACACATTGCGTTGAGACTTCGCAGGTCTATCTTCTTAACCGTCGCCATTTTCGTGGGCTCCTGGGAGGTCTAGCGGAATGCACTTGTACACATATTGCGTTTCGACTTCGCGGGTCTTTGGGGAGGAGGTGCGAATTGCGCGATTGTCGCCATTCGTCGGGTTTTGGAAGGTCCAGCGGAGTGGAGTTGTAAGGAAACAGATCGCGTTGATACTTCGCGGGTCCCTGCGGTGGCTGCCCTCTGCGCTATTGACGCCGTTTTCTTGGGCTCCTGCGAGCCCCAGCGGAGTGGAGTTGTAAACAGATCGCGATGAGGCCTCGCGGCTCCCTTGGGGGCTTCGCACTGAGCAACTGTCGCCATTTTCGTTGGCTCCTGGGAGGTCCAGGGGAGTGGAGTTGAAAACAGATCGCGTTGAGACCTCGCGGGTCCCTCGGAGGGCTGCGGATTGCGCAATTGTTGCATGTTCGTGGGCCCCTGGGAAGCCCAGCGGAGTGGGCTGTCACGCGGACCTTGTCGAGACGTCGCGGCTCCGTGTGAGGGTTGCGAGTTGCGCGGCCGTCACCACTTTCGTGGGCTCCTGAGAGGTCCAGCGGAGTTGGGTGTCACGCCAACGCTATCGAGACCTTGCGGTTCCTTGGGGGTGCGAGCTGCGCGTTGCAGTTCCGTCGGCTCGTTCAACATGTTCGTTTGTATTGAGCGGTCCTGAGTCTAGTCGTCATGTTTAGGAAGGCTTGGGTACGTCCCTGAATCATTGCTTCTGTCAGCATGGACCTTCTGTCGTCCACGTCGCAAAATGCATGGCAGGAGCGGGGCGGGGCGTACATCGCGCGGTCGAGTAGGCGGCAGAGTGAGAGCATTGACCGACACGGAATCAAGGTCGCCAGGGCGAGCGAGTCAGAGGGCCCCGCGCACCCCCACCCTCCCTCCCGCGACATTGCAATCGTTTGTGGAACTTTTTGATGTTAGAGTTCAGACGCGCTCGCACCTTGCAAACGGAAGGTGCTTACGCGCGGCCCCGCTTCCGACGACTTGGCGAAGACAACAAGTACGCGGGCCGCGCAGGGGCGGGAACGGCAGAACTTTCGATGGGCGTTGTGAAGAAGAAGCGTGCGTGCGCCGCGCTGACACAGCACTGCCACTTTCACTCACAAGCTGCGCGGGCTTGGACGAGGTCGGCAGTTCGCCCGCTCCCGCGCGTCACCGCTGCCCCCGGTGGCTTTCCTGCGACTCCGCGAGCGAGCCATGCGCCGCGCCCGCGCTGGAGCGCCACACCCGAGCAAAGCGCGCACGGAGCTCGGGCGAGGGCGACAAGTCGCCCCCTCGCGCAGGGCCCCCCAAAGACAGGCGAGTGAAGCCTACGCGGCGCGTCGGCGCGGGAACGCCACCTTCAGGCACAGATATGCGCGGCGCCGAGGCGAGAACTGCATCTTCGTCCGCTCGCGCGTCGAAGAAAAGTTGCATGCGAAAGGCGTGCGCCGCGCCCACGCGGGGGGTCGATGTTGCGGAAAGTTCAGCGCGGCGCAGAGGCGAGAGCGGAGGCGCGGAGGCGAGAGCGGCGCGAATCGTCACGCGACCAGAGGGGGCTGACGAGGTTGGAGCCCGTCGCGGGAGTTCTCGCGAACCATGGAACGTGTTCCAAACGACATACGCATGTTTTGATCTCCGCGTGGATCTCTTTGATCGGCGCCAGGCCCCCCGGAGTTTGAGTTGGTGTGCCACTGTAGGTTATGGAGACCGCGATAAATACTTGGCCTCGTCGAGTCAAGTTGCGGAAGCTATGCCGTCAGAGTGCGGCTTCATCAAGGTCGAGCGAAGTCAGGTCCACAGCGGCTTAGGCGGAGATGCCACGGACTGATCTAGGAGGCGTGTCTCGAACCATCTTGCTCGTTTTTTAGCTGCCATCGTCAGGGCCTCAAGGGTCGCGCACGTCAGAGGGGCTGGAGCTCGCACAGCAGCGGCTTTCAGAGCGGACCCGACCGCCCAAACTTTTTTTGGGGGGCACGCTCAAGTCTCTCAGGGTAGCCGCAGTCAAGGCTGATGGCCGCCTGCCTGGGGGGCCTTCGCTCGGGTTCGCGTCTATGGTTACTCGTGGGGTTGGCGCAGCGACCCCCTGGTGCAGCTGACGACCGATGCTGTCAAGACACGCATCTATAGTTCAGGCCGGCATGATCGGCGCGCCTGTCCTGGAAGATGCCATTTCTGCAGGGTTCCAATTTCTGTCCAAACCCAAGCCGTATGCCTTGGTCAAAGACCCCGTGGCGGCGCTGATCCTCACGGCGGGTCGGATCGACTTTGGATCCCTTGGGCCGTGGAGTGTTGTGGAGCCTTTGGGAGTCTCTCTTGGGATGTCCGCGAAGTGCTCTCCTGCCTGGTGGAACAAGCTAGGATCGCGACCAGAGCCGCATCGGGTCGCCAAGCTCTCTCCAAGATAGGGCCTGCCCCAGTTTGGGGAGGCGATTTTTTGAGCGGCATCTTCAACGAGTTGCTGTAACAGCAGCCGCCTTCGGAGAATGATGATTAGGAGGAGGAGGAGGAGGAGGAGGAGGAGGAGGAGGAGGAGGAGGAGGAGGATTCGGAGTTGGCGGACGGTTCGGAGGGGCAGAGTGCGAGACACCAGCGCGCCTTCCGAGGGCTTGCCACAGGCTCTCACTGGTGCCAGCACCGTCTGTCGACGTATGACAACCAGCTCAAGCCTAAATGCCTCCACTGCGGCGAGCTAGGCGCCCTTTTTCACAGGTACTTCGGGTGCCCTGCGAGAACTCTGTGGCGTAGGGACAACATATTCACACCCAATCCCCCTAGTGGGGCAAGATGCCCTAGAGCCTAGAGCACGTTGTGAAGGAGTGGCTGCCCACATCGTGCAGGCATGATAGAGAGAGGAGGTGGAGGGCTTGTTCTTTAGCGGAGCGCCGCTCCACCTCCACAAGAGAGTTTTACGCGAGGCCTCCTTCCTGACCCCTGCCAGATTGTGACCAGGAGGCCCCAGGACCTCGCCACCGAGTTACAGCTGGAAGGCTTTGACTTTCCTTGGGTCCGTGTGGCTGGTTGGGGGGTCGCGATCAATGACAGCTCCCTCCACGTTTTAGGAGGTTGATTCGGAGCGGTCCCTCCGTGCACCCTCCCCGCGCCAATTGCCAGAGACGGGGAGGAGTGCGCGGTGCACATGGCCGCCCGTTTCCTCGCTGGTTCTACACACGGACGTGCGGGCCCCAGTTAGGGCCCAGAGGGGCGTGTTCGCCTCAAAGTCCTTGAATCGCACCAGCCTCTGCATGGCTGGCCAATGTTTCGGCTTTGACGTGGAGCGTGCCCGAGCCCTTGGAATGCTTGCCATGTCGGAGGCCGAGGCCGATTCCGACGAGGAGCCTCTTTTTTGGGTGGCTTGTCGGGACCTGTGGGGCGGAGATGGAGCCCGCCTGGTGGGCCGCCAAGTTTTTCCTTTTGATGGGCACCCCCCGGACTCTCCTCTCTAGTCCCCCAGTGGGCGTCCAACCCTCCTCCCCCCCCACCCCCTCCTCCGCCTCCTCCTTCTCCTCGTCTTCTCCTCCTCCTCGTCCTCGTCCACCTCCTCCTCCTCCTCCTCCTCCTCCTCTTCCTGTTCCCTCCCCTCCGTAGCTTTGTTTGGCTCAAGACTATGGCTTTGGGGGCTTCCAGCCCAAGGCATTTAGGGATACCGCTAGACCGCGGCTGGCAAGGCAGTTTTGTTTGGCATCCATGTTTCTTTGCCTTCATGGGGGGAGGTGGGCACCCTCACCCAGTCCGTCCTTTTTCCCGCGCTCTCGCTCAACCAGTCATTTTGTCTGGACTATGTCGGAGGAGTTGAATCAGTCCATGCAAGCTGGCATCGCTGCTGCCATAGCCTCGGCTACACAGTCTATAGTTGCGCAAGCCAGTTCACACGTCAGCGAGCAGCTCAATCCAAAGTTTTGACGCGGTGAAGAACTCTTTCTATGGGCAGCAGTCGGCGCTCGCCAATCAGCAAAACACGCTGAACAGTCTCATCCACAGAGTCAACGTCCTCACCAAGAAGTGCGAGTCCGACGAGACCCATAACGCGTCGCTGCAGAGTATTTCCTCCAGTGGTGCCTCTAGTTAAGGTGTTGGATCGACCGCCAGCTTCGCCACTGTCGTCGCCAACGGTCACAAGAAGGTTCGAGGTCCTGACGCGGTCCCTGGTGGAGACGCTCGTCTCAAGTTCGTGGGTGCCTTCCCCAGGTCTGTGCTCGAGACCGTTCGTCGCCAGCACTGGGAGCAACTCAAGCAGCACTTCCCCTGACCTCCTCTCTGTCGGTGCCACGCCCGCTTTCCATTCCATCTCCCAGACCTACCCGGTCAAGTTTGAACGCCCTGAGGCAGCCAAAGAGTTCCAGCGGGTCGCGAACTTCCAGGGCATGTCGTGGCAAGACCCGCGCAACCAGAAAATCTTCCCGCTCAGGATTCGTGCTGACCCCCCCATGGACGTGAGGACCAGGAAGCGTGTAGTACATTCTCTGCGGGCTCCTGTTCGCACCCTGCTCGCACTCGCGCCCCGCTGGGGCGACGGCAAGTGCCAGCTCGGCGTCGGCGTCTTCAAGGGCGCCCTTCGCCTTCGCACCGGGAACGACGCATGAGAATTCGCGTCGGCGAAGCTCCATGCCCAGCGCAACGGCGCGGAAACTGACCAGTTCGAGCCTCGCCTCTCAGGCCTCGAGGGTCGGGGCATGTCAGCGGAGCAGATCGCCGACATCATCAGCACTGCGCTGGCGGACGTGCTCATTGCCTCCCCTGCTGAAGAGGAACCCGCCTCGCGGACATCGCAGACTACAGCTTCGGCATCACCATCGCAGCGTGCAGCGGAGAGACCGACTGCGGACAGTCCCTCTTGTTTGGAAGCTCCAGGATCGGCGAGATGCACTCTTGCTCGCCTCCTCTGCGGTGTACCTCCGCCTCGACTACGACTTCCAGCGGCTCGGGGTCAGCTTCTGCGGCGTCGCTTTCCTCGTCGTCGGCGGTGTCTTCTGATCTGCCCTCTGTCGCTCGCTTTTCTGTCCCCTCTCGCGTGTCCAGGCGCAGCCTTGCGGAGGGAGCTCAGGCCAGTGGGCCCCCTGCGCGCCCTCCTGCCGCTCCCTCCCCCCGTCTTGCTCTGCCCTCCGCTTCCGCCCCTTTCGCCATCTGTCACTGGAATGCGCGAGCCCCCCCCTTGCTCCCACCACTCAGATAGTCGACGAAGACAGTGTAAGTATCAGTCCCTCCCCCCCTGCTGAGACGGCGCTCGATTGCGTGTGTCCAGGAAACCCACGGGGACCAAGCCGGCGCCTCGCTTCTCTCGAGAGACATCGGCCGCGTGCACATTCATGGCTCGCTCATTGACAGTGAGATTGCTGGTGCGATTCTGATTGCGGTTCAGGGGCCCGGGCGGGCGCTCCCGCTCTCGCGAACCAAGCTGAAGTCTTGCAAGTTGCACGTGTGCATGTAGATCCCGCTCGGGCAGAGGCCTACACCCGTGCAGTATTCTGGAGGCTCCGTGGCTTTCTCAGTCCCTCGACTCTCGACGTCCTATATCGCTGGTGTTTTTAACTTCCCTCGAGAATGGTGATGCTCGGTATTGTGCTCTTAGGGGGCGTGAGACGTTCCAGAGATCCAGGGTAGCTTCCCTGTTCGATCGGATCTTCCTGCTCTGCTCCGAAGTGTTCCAGCCCCGCTTCTCTCATCGTGCTGACGTCGATGCCGATCCCAGCTGCGCTCGTCTTGATCGCGTGCGTGCACGCATTCCCGTCGCTGCCCTCATCGACGTCAAACCCGTCTCCTCCACTGTCTGGCCCGTCGCGGGTCTCAAGGAGCCCGCTGATCACCCCACGTCTTCCTCAGAATCTCTGTGCCTGCCAGTGAAGATGCCGGCTACGTGGCTATTCCGTTCTGAATTGCGCCACATGGAGGTTTCAAGCAAACGTGCGACGATGCGTTCAGGATTGAGGTTTTCTCTATGGGTCCCCCTCAGCGCCTCAAAGAAGCCACGCAAATATTCGTTGCGCTGCTCGCGAAGTGAAATGGCGCGTTCAAAACGTCAGCCCCCAGACAGACGAGCAGAGGGCCTCCGCGTGCCCGCGGCCGCTGTGGTCGGCTAGGGCGATCCTGATCGCGATGGCCAAGTCCGCTTTTGCTGTCCACCCGAAGCCTGCGAGTTGTTCCTCCTCCTGGGACGGCCAGCGGTTGGGCAGGGTGGGGGGGTTCCGCCTGCGCGTCGCCAGCTTGCAGGGGAATATCGCGAATGCAGGGGCTCAGGAAGTTAGTTATTGGCAGTTCGGACCCCCCCGAGGTGCAGGCGACCAATCTCAATCGCGTCCGTCGGCTGGCCGCAGCTTGGGAAGCTCAGAGACTCGGGCCCCGGGGCCCCGGCGGGCCAGACGATCGCGGATCCCGCCCTCATGGCCAGTATGCCTGCCCAGTGCTGGGGCGGCGTCTTTGAGGCTGAGGACGACGCTCAGATTGGCCCAGCCGCCGCTGATTTGTTCCTCGCCCAGGTGGGGCCGTTGGACGAGCAAGGACCACCGTATGTCTCTGATTCGCATCAGCGTGTGGACTTCGTGGTCAGCCACGAACAGATGCTCGGCCCCCCTCGCCAAAAAGAACGATGCTGCCCCTGGCCCTGACGGTGCGCCCTATTCAATTTGGAGGAACGCCCCGGATCTGCCTCGCCAGTTTTTGCACGACGGTTCCCTCTGCATGGTGAATGAGCATCGATTTAGTATGGAGTTTAATTGCTGCCGCGCCGCCGTCCCGCCGAAGGGCGACCTTGTGTCTGGAGGTGCCGAAGCTCTTTCTTTGGAATTCGGACAACAAGGTTTACTCGTCGCTGCTTGCCCATCCGCTTAACTCCCTCGCAGCTGACAAAGTCGCGCCACGTCAACGTGGATGCGTTCGCGGTCGTTCGATGCTCGACGACGCCCTCGAAATTGACGCGGCCCCCTTCTCTTGGTCGCGCGCCCTTGGCGCCCGGGAAGCAGGCGGACGCCTCTTCTTTTTACAGAACTTTCCCGTTCGTCTTCCACCCGTGGAGCTTTGCCGTGCTGAGGAGGATGAGGGTGCCGTAGTACATCGCCGGGACCACTGTCGCGCTGTGCTTCGGGGGCTGGACATGCATCGGCGTTGGTGACAAGTGTCCCATCGGGCTTCTGGGCCCGTCGAGGGGTGGAACCAGGGTGACCGCTTTCGGGCGCTTTCTTTGCTTTGATCCTGAGTCCCATCCTGAAGGCCACCCTCGTCCAGAAGAGTTGCCACGATATGGTGGCATGTGCCTTTGCGGACTATCTTGGTTCGATAGACGCAACATCTGCCCGCGGTTCTCCCAGTCATCGTTCCCGAGCTTCAGCGCGCAGCCAAGGCCGCAGGATTGGCTGTGAATTATTCCAAGTGCCACATCATTGTTCCTCGTATTTTCGACGGGGCGGAGGCCCGTCGATATTTCGCAGGGCATGGACTGGATGTGGCTGCGTACTAGTCCCCCCCGAATGCCAAGTACTTGGGCGTTTACCTAGGATTGGGTGGCAGTCGAGAGTCGCTGTCGCCTCCCCTCGCAAAACTCGCCGAGAGAAGCCGCATGATTACAAGTATGGGGCTTCGTTTCATCCATTCTGCGGTTGCCTGGGACCGCTATGCGGTGCCCGTCATTGGCCAGGTGTCTCAAGTATTTGATCCCCCGGAGGAGGCCAGGTCCATTGTCCGAGAATGTCATCAAGTCACCACTCGTTCTCCGAGGCACTCCCTGTACAGTCGCGTTCATTTGACCTGGCCGCGCAGAGTGCGAGAGTGCGCGCAGCTTTACCGTCCCAGCACTTGACAGATGTGCTGAAGATCGAATTCGAGAGCGGAACAATCGTGACGTATGTCTGGCGTGCCTGGCAACCCCCCACCATCCTGACTCTGTTATTTCCCATCTGCTTCGAGCTCGCGATACCTTCGCTTCCCTCCCCAGCAATCCCATCGACTCCCCACCGAAGTCATTGCAGGCAACAGTTTACCAGTTTCTCCTGGGCCTTCAACCGCCACCTCCACTTGGGTGCTCGATATAAGTTTTGGACGGGCGCAGTATCGCATGAAGAGGTTGCTCGTTGTCTCCAGCGACTTAGACTCGTGAGCTTTCGTCTTCCCCGCTTCTTTCTGACTTCGTCGATCAAAGTCTTGTGCAATTCATGGCCCACTACCCGTCGCCTCAGACACGGGCCTGGGGGCCGTGTCCGGGATTGTCCTGCCGTCGGCGGGGGCGCTCTTATACATTGTTTCTGTTGCCCCTACCTTCGCCTTTCCCTTGCCCCCTTTCTCCCCCTTTTCGCATCGTCGCGGGGCGAAGACCCCCTCTCTGCCGTGCTCCCCGATCGTTGGATCGGCAACGATCTCGACACTGTCCTCTCGCATGCTGCTGCTATCGAGCTTGCCTCATCCGCCTTCCACCACCGTCGTTCTTCAGGCAGGCGTTCTCCCAGGCGCCTCCGCGAGGCCATCGGAGCCCGCGCCAAGGCGTTTGCTCGTCGTGGCCTTCATCCAGGACTGCTGCGCCCCCCCCCCCCTTAGTCGGTTGCCGCCCCCCCTCCCCTCCCTTTCCCTCCCCCCCTCCCGCCCCCCCCTTCCCTCTCCGCGGCCCGAGGTGCAGCGGCCGCCCCCGCGGCAGGCGCAGCCCGCAGGAGGCGCGCGCGGCGCCGCGCGCCCCCCCAAGGCACCCTCGTCGGCTCCGGTCCCCCGGGGAGGGGGCGCTTCGGACGCCCCCGGCAGGCAGGTGGCTCTGGGCCGCCCAGAGTGAGCATTTCTTTTTTGCCGATCGGCGCGGGGCCTCGCGCCCCCCCCCCCCTCCCCCCTCGGAGTAGATCTTGGCTGTTTCTGGCGCCTGTCTCGGGCAGGTGCAGCCCCTCCCCCATCGGGCACGCAGTTGCAACCAGTCGCATGGGGCAGGGGTCCGGAGCCTGGCCCCCCCTTTCTCGCCCCCTCCGCCCAATGTCGACACGCCGAATAAGGACATGCTCGCAGATGGGGTCGGAGTATAGAGGGGGTCGGACGATCGCGCCGCATCGCCGATGCGTCGCCGATGCGGCTCGATGTGCAGCCCGCTTTGTCTTGCGTCAGCGTCGCAGATGCCGACGTCGACGATGCATCGCTGGTGCGTCGCCGATGCATCGCCGATGCATCGCCGATGTATCGGCGACGCGGCGCGATCCTTCGACCCCATTTATTCCGACCCCCTCTGGGAGGCCTTTAGGCAAGTGATGGTCGGGGATCCCCCAAAGCGTGTGGTAACGGACCGCGTGGTAACTCTAGAATCCCCAGGGGCTTCATCACGCGGTCCAACACCGCGCGGCTTTGGGGACCTCAGGGGCCCCCGTCGTTCTTGGTGACATCGTTGGTGAACGACCTGGATCCCGAAACCGCGCGGTGACCCGAAGTCCCCAGCGACTCTTCACGCGGTGCGGTCAACGCACCGTTTGGACCCCTTCGAAACAGGGCGCAGCGCAAGCAGGGTTCAGCCATAACGCCATGTCCTGCAAAATCCTGCAAGGCTGGGTTTGGGCCGAGCTGGGCTCTGATGTTTCGGAGGTGGTCTTTCATGTTGGCTGAGCCAGGTTTTGGAAGGATCCAAAAACCTGCAGCGTTGTTTTCCTGAATTCGACGGGCCGGGTGCTGAGACAAACGAGTCCACCCCCAACGATTCCGCCAATTCTTTCTTGGGACCCCTACCGACCGCACTTCCAGCCTGAGAATGCCCCGCGCTCTCTCACACATTATCGCCCTTCGCTGAGGAGGGACAGCTCGCGACGGGCGTCCTCTTGCGCTCTCCTCGGCTCTTTGGAGGCCTCGCCCTCCGCATTCTGCCCCTGGGGGGCTCCGGCTCGGCCGCGCGGGCACGGCGCACGGGCACGGCACGTGGGCACGGCACGCGGGCCCGGCGCGGCACGCCCACGGCGCCTGTTTGTTCCCCTCGCCCGCAGCACTCGGGCACACGGCGCGGGCACGGCACACGTGGCACACGGCATGCGGGCGGCGCTCGTTGGTTTCGCGCACTCGTTGGTTTCGGAATCGTTTTTCCGGCCCCCCCCTTTTTTTGACCCCCCCCCCCCTTTTTTTCCAGAATCGCTTCGTTTCGCAGTTTGGGTTTCGGAATCGCTGTTTTTCCCCCGCACTGTACAGCACTCGCGCGACGGGCGCTTTCCCAAGGTTCGGCCTGTTTGGGCACTTGCGGGGCCGCGGGGCGGTCTCGTCGGTTCTTGCTGGTTTCTTCTCGCTTCGGGTTGCTTTCCAGAGCGCTCCCGGTGGGGGTCCGGATCGTCCCGATCCGCCGCCGGAGGCTCGAGTTCTTGCGCGAAGGCCTGACATCCGCGCGCCGCGACGAAAATCGCCACGGCAGGTTTTGGGCAGTTTTCGGCCTCGAGGGGCCCTTGCTGGGCCCCAGGGCCGTCAGTCCTCGGGCTGGAATCAGGTTCTCCTCCAGGAAAGGGGCCGAGGCCTCTGGGGCGCCGCGATGTGCGAAAAACACGACGTCGGATGCTTGGGTCACCCAGATGTTCGAGGAGTGGCAACGACGAGGGTGGACGAGCTCCGGCGGGAGTGCACCGGCCCCCCATCGCCCGCTCGTCGCCTGTGCGGGCCCGATGCTCCCATCCCGCACCCCGCTCTGAGACGTGCGGTTCCGCTGTCGGGTGCCTGTCGCCGAGTTGTCGGCTTGGATGGCTGGTGTTTCCCCCCTGGGCTGGTTCCCCCCCCTCGTTCCCCCTGACCTAGACAGTAGGTTCGCGTCGTGTCGACCTGGCGACGACCGCAGCGCGGACTGCTGAGGAACGCCATCCGTGGCCATTCGTCCAACAATGAGAGGTCTGCGCTTTTGGGCAGCCGCGATTTGTTCGAGATCGAAGAGGTCTGCGCGGTGCCACAGACCGGCGCCAGACTTCGCGGCGTTGAAACAGACATGCAAGGCGTCCTCTTCCATCCTGGCTTGGCCAAGAGCGATCGGCCGAGACCCCCCTTGGGAACTTCTAAGCATAGCCCAAAACCTCCTTCAAGCTGGCATTCAGTCGGGCCTGTCCCTCGGCAAGAGAAATATGCAAATGAAGTCAAACAACAGTCTGGGGGCAGGCCCGACCTGAAGCTGGCATGCCGTGCACCCGTGTGGCAACCACGTGGGGCGGCGAATCCAGTGGCCTTCGGCCCGCCCCGCCTCCGGGCGTGGGTTGTAGGTCAGAGGCTTCTTAGATGTCCGTGGGGATCTCGGGAGGCCTCTCGAAAGGCTCGCGGAGGCGGTTCGGGGGTGTCTTGACGTCTCCAGGTGGCTTCTTCCTGGCCTCCTGTGGACCTCCTGGGGCTGCTTGGGGGTTTCTTTGGGGCCTGCTGGCGGACGGGGTCATCTTTCAACGGAAGGCTCGACATGTCGTTTCGAATTCGCCCTCTTGGGCCCCTCTTGGAGCCGTCTTGGGGGTCTCTTGGGAAGTCTTCAGGCCCTCTTGGGCAGTCTTTTGGGCTTCTTGGAGCGATATTCTGCTCGGGGTCTCCCTTCTCCTTACCCTGACCTCCGGCGCAGCTTTTGTTCACGACGTATGCTCCCGCGTCTTCGGTGTCCGAGGTGGGATTGAAGGCCCCTGCCAGCCTCCAGCCGAGGAGGGCAACCAAGCGTAGAGACCCCTCTTGGGAGGAAGGGGGGGAACGATCAGAGGAGGAGGGGTGGAAGAGAGGAGGAAGGATGTGGACCCTGTCCGGGACCCCCGGCGATCGAGATCGTCCGAGGCCGGATGACTCTCACGGCGGCGGAAGCCAGAGCGGCCGGGTTGTCGTGACAGGGGCTCTGCTGGGCAGTCGAGACGCTGGAAATGAAGCACCACTCTTTAGGCCCGTGATCCTCAAGCAGCGGCGAAGAGTCCGGGCTTGCCTGTAGGCCTACCAGAGAATGTTCTAAGAACCTTTTGGTGGATGCACGAAATGTTCTTAGAACATGTCTTGCTAGGTCTGTCTTGTTTTAACACATCGGGCTTATGTTCTAAGAGCATCGATTCCCAGAACATGTTTTGGGTTCTAAGAACATGTCGTGGTAGGCCTGTAAGAATGCTGGGACGGTCGGTCCCTGCTCAAGGAATGAAGCACCTTTCCGGGCCCGTGATCCAGAATTGTTGAGCCGACCCATATCCCCATCCCCGATCCCTATCCAGACCCCCACCATCTCTCGGCACCCCAATTTGGGGATACAACCCCGAAGCCCAAAGGAGACACCTCCTGCCCCCATCCAGGAGGGTAAGTCGGCCAGTGGGGCCCAGGCCACGACTATAGGGATAGGGATTGGTTAAACGATGCTCAGTGATGTTCTCAGTTCTTTACTTTTTGTTTCGCCAATCGGCGCGGGCTCCCGCCCCCTCCCCTCCCCCCCCTATACAGACCAGATCTTGGCTGCTTTTGCAGGCTGCTTCTGTCAAGGAGAGGCGAAGCGTCCTGGCTTGCCTGTAGGCCCGCCAAAGAACGTTATTATACCCTTTCGTGGTATCTGCGAGATGTTTTGGAACAGTTTTGGCTGTGAATATTTTATTCCACTACGCTATACAACGGCTTTTATGCTCCAAGAACGTTGTTTTGTCATCCGTCCAGTTTTTTGTTCTAAGAACACGTCGTGGTCGGCCTTTAAGAGCGTCTGGGCGGTCGGTTTCTGCTCAATTCTGGCGACTGGGCAGGATCTCCCCCCACTCTGCTTGCGTGACCGGTGACACCAGATCGAGTGAGCACCTGCCCAGGCCCAGACATCCCCGCCTCCCCCACCCTCAGGCCAAGTGTCTATGTTCTTTGTTTTTTTCTACTCGTGGCCGAGGCTCGCGTGCCCGATCGAGCTTCTTTGTTCCTCGTTCGGCGCTCACCGTGGCAGCACGATCACCGCGCACAGACGCTGTACCGCCTGCCTGGGCCAGACCTCCCACGTCGTGTCTCCGTCCACGCTGGCCCCATGGGAGCTCTCGACCACTTTCCCTGGACCAGCTCCTCGCCCTAGACATTCTGCTGGTGGCCCCAGGGCCCAGAACCGTCCCCATGGAGGCGGCGCCCGCGGTCAGGACCGTGCGCTCAGCGTGTCGCGTCGCTGGTTATGATCCACCACGCCTCGGTGTGCCACGCCAAGCACGTCGCAGTTCCCCAGCATCGAGAGTCCGAACGTCTCCATTCTCACGTCCCACATAGATCCACGAAGCAGAGCGACGCGCTACCAGCTTGCAAGGAACAGCGTGTCGCAGGGGCCACTGCGGTGGCTCGTGGTCCCTTGCGACAGTGGGTTCGCCGCGGTCGAATCTGCGCTGAGCGTCGCGGCAGTGCGTCTGCAGAAATGGATAAGGAGGAGAAGCGGCCGCAGAGGAAGGAAGAGACAGGGATTCGCGCTCAGACGGCTGACGTCTCTTGGGGCCGCCGCCGCGACAGGCGAAGCAGAAGCCTATGGCCCCCAAACGGCGGTGCAGTGGCCACACCGTGTGGCGAGTCAGTGGGGATTAGGGCTGATTGCACGGTTTTGGGACTCGGGTCTTCTCCGAGGATGTCTCAGGCGACTGGGGATTAAGGCCTCCAGGGTCCCAAAACCGTTCGATGACGGACAGTGCTGTGAGGTCTTTGGGGATTCGAGGTCACCGCACGGTCTGTCACCGCACCCTTTTGGGAGCCTCAATGTAGACTGGTACGAGGCATGTGTATAAATATAGACAATGACTTTGCCGAAGTCGAGGCCGCTTGCGTGCTTTTTTCTCTCGGGCACCAGCAGTGTTGCTCGAGATTTCACCCCGTCGCGCCCGACTCTAGGCCGACCCCCAGTGGAGGCAAACTCCCTGTGTTGGTTCTGGTGCTCACTTCCGAGCCTACGAGTCTGGGGTGCCCGTCACCCTCCGCTCCGCCCTCACCGACGGTGCCGATGCCGCCGGCCGCCCATGTCGGCGCCCAGGGCACGCCCAAGCGGCCGCCCATGCCCCAGGCATGCCTCGCCTACATGTCTGCGACGCGCCCGGGTGAGAAGGAGCAGGCCTTAGCAGGAGGCAGCAAGGCTTCTCTGAAGAAGCCCTAGCCTTCAGAGAAGTTTTGTGCGTTTTCATTGAAGGCTTACAGGGTGAAGGCCCGCCCCCCCTCACCTCCCCCCGGGAGCGCCGCCGAACATGTCAGAGCAACCCTTCGCCAGAGTGGCCTCGCATGTCTTGGATCGAGCCTCGAGCGGAAACAAAATAATGAGGCTACGCACGCGTTTCGCCTTCTCGAAGCTCTGCGGGCCAACTTGCCTGCGGTGCGGCGTCGAGCGAGCATCGTCGACGATGGAACCGGAAGCAAAGCGGAGAGTTGCACTGCAACGTGGGGCAGGGGTGGACCTAAACGGTGTTTTGGCGATTTCGTGGGCCGTTTTCGTTTCGGTATCGTTTTGCGTTAAAAGGTGCATTGGAGACAAAACGAGGGAAGACGCAAACACAATGAAAACGAACAACACCGTTTAGGTTCAGCCCTGACGTGGGGGTCTCAACAAGAACCCGAACCCCAGACCTCCGACGGTGTGACCTGCTCGATCCCGGCGTTTCTCCTTCACGTCGGCCTCGGGGGCTCGCTCTCGGGCCTCAGGGCCCTCCGGCAGGGGCCCAGGACGACACGTGTGCCCCATGGGGCGAGGGTCCGGACCTCCCGGGGCCGCGCGGGTGCTGCCTGCAGGGTGCGCGTCCTCACAGGGGGGGTGGCCCGGGCGGGCCACGCCCGAGGCCTGCGGGCCGCCGCGGCCGCGCCGCGCGCGCCGGGCGGCCCCCCTGCGCTCCCTGCGCGTGGCCGAGCGCCTCCCTGGCGCCCGGCGCCCCCCCTCCCTGCGAGGCCTTGCCTCGCCGCACCCGGCCGCCGGCGCCGGCGACAAGCTGGTCAGCTGCATCGCGGGCCTGAAATCCCCGGGTGCGCTGCCGCGCCTCTCCCGCCGCCGGGGCTCGGCCCTCCACATGCCCTCTGGGTGGAAGCAGCGCCGGTCGGCGGCGAAGCCCGGGCCCTGCCGTCAAGCAGTGGCGAAGCGTCCTGGTCGCCTATAGCCCTACCAAACAATGTTCCTAAGAACCTTTTGTGGTTCCCACGAAAGGTTCTGAGAACATTTCTGGCGGAGTCTGTCTTGTTTAAACACATAGGGTTAATGTGGGTTCTAAGAACATTTCGTGGTAGGACTATAGGAATGCCGGGACGGTCGGCCCCTGCTCAATGCCGTCGCCGATCCACGATCCAGGCAGTTCGATGGGCGGGTGGTCCAGGGATCGGGATTCGTCGAGCACGTAATTAGCTAATACATCCGAACCTTCTTCCCGCCTCCCGTCGTTGCTTGCGAATCGATGGTTGGTGGGGTCAGGGTTCGGATGTCGCCACTTAGCTGATCCAATCAAGGACACTCCACCCGGTGCCCACGGCACGGTCCAGCAGGGTGGTGGATCCGTCGTGCTTGTCGTCGAAAAGCTCGCTCCCCTCACCCCGCCCTCACTTTGCGCGCCATCAGAGGGCGTCGCCGAGGCCATCTGTGCCCGCGCCACGTGCGCCCACGGCATGGCTTATGGGGACTCTTGCACGTTTTGCGTTGCCCTGATTTTGGCCTATCGGCCGCAGCGTCTCACAATGAGAACGTCGGACAATGGGGCAAACAAAATGCCTAAGAACGACGGCTCCTGGTAACCGGCGATGCGGGCTCCTGTGCGGGCAGTCCCACCGAGCAGCCCGAGCCCCGAGCCGCTCGCGAGAGGCCCGAAAAGGCTGTGCGCCTGGGAGGCCCCCCTCCCACCCGCCGAGGCCCTCCAGTTACTCAGCGGGCGAAGAACTGCAGGAAGTGAACGTTTTCGCCATTGGGGATGCCCGTCTCAGGGCGACTGGGAAGCTCCTGTCTCCTGCGGTGGCAGGTGGGGATATAAGTTCAGCTTTCCAGCCGCCCCTGGTACAGGCGCCGCTGCCCCCCGCCTGCCCAGAGGGGAAAAGGAGGAAGGCGGGAGGGAGGGAGAGAGGGAGGAGGGCGGAGGGAGGAGGGGGGAGGACGGAGGAGGAGGGAGGAGGGAGGAGGGAGGAGGGATGTGGAGGCGGAGCAGGAGGCTAAGGAGCTGGTGGAGGAGGAGGAGGAGGAGGAGGAGGAGGAGGAGGAGGAGGAGGGATGATGGATGAGGCGCGGGAGGAAGGAGGAGGGAGGAGGATGGATGGAGACCGTCGGGGCGGGGAAGGCGGCAACGTTCACATTGTGCACCCTCTTCGCCCGCGGAGTTACGAGGGCGCCCGCCGAGGGTGCGGCGGGGTGAGGAGCGGGGGCCCCGCGGCTTCGGGGGCGGCATGCGCGCGGCAGAGCTGCCGGACGACGCCCGCAGGGACCTCGAGAAGGCGCCGCGGCCGCCGTCGTTGTCGCCGTCGTTGCCGCCGTCGTTGCCGCCGCTGTCGCCGTCGCTGCCGCCGTCGCCGCCCTCGCTGTCGCAGTGGCCGCCGTCGTCGCCGCCGCCGCCGCCGCCGTCGCCCGCCTTGCTGTCGCCGCCGTCGTGGCCGTCGTCGCCGCCTGCGCGATTGGCCGCCTACGAGCCGATTTGCTGCGACTCGGTTCGCAGGCTGGGGCCGCGATTCCGATTCGGTTCGATGCAGCAGCATCGGCCAGGGCCAGCCCGAGCCGAGCGCGGCAGTCCGGTGTCGATCTGTTTCGGGACGACCCGCTGGCGATCCGATCTGTTTCGCATCCGATCCGATTTCTCGACCAGGCTTAAGTCGGGCCTGTCCGTCTACAGGAAGAATATTCGAAAATAGTAAACAAATAATCGATAGACGATTTTTTGACTATTTCTGATCATTTTCAAAATATTTTTTGGCTTTTTCCCAACCATCCTGTGGTGTTGGGTCCTCGTTTTGAAGCGATGGCGCCCCGCGTTCTCCTCCTCTCCTTCCTCCTCTCCCTCCTCCCCCTCCTCCCTCCTCCCTCCTCCCATCATCGTCACCCGTCTCAGCACACCTCTCACACGTTTCGTGGCCCCATAAGGAGCTCCACCGAAGGTCCCAATGGGACCGCCCGCATGCGTCACGCACCACCCAGTACAGCGTTTCGTGGCCCCATAGGGAGCTCCACCGAAGGTCCCAGTGGGACCGCCCGCATACGTCACACACCACCCAGTACAGCGCTTCGTGCTTCCATAGGGAGCTCCATCGAAGGCCCCAATGGGACCGCCCGCATGCGTCACGCAACGCCCAGTACAGCTTTTCGTGGCCCCATAGGGAGCTCCACCGAAGGCTCCAGTGGGACCGCCCGCATGCGTCACGCACCACCCAGTACATCTTCTCGCGGCCCCCATAGGGAGCTCCACCGAACGCCCCAGTGGCACCGCCCGCATGCGTCACGCACCACCCAGTACAGAGTTTCGTGGCCCCATACGGAGCTCCACAGACGGCCCCAGAGGGACCGCCCGCATGCGTCACGCACCACCCAGTACAGCGCTTCGTGGCCCCATAGGGAGCTCCACCGAAGGTCCCAGTGCCACGGCCCGCATGCGTCACGCATCACCCAGTACAGCGTTTCGTGGCCCCATACGGAACTCCACAGACGGCCCAATTGCCACCGCCTGCATGCATCACGCACCACCCAGTACAGCGTTTCTTTGCCCCCAAAGGGAGTTCCACCGTAGGTCCCAGTGGGACCGCCCGCATGCGTCACGCACCACCCAGTACAGCGCTTCGTGGCCCATAGGGAACTCCACAGACGGCCCCAGTGGGACCGCCCGCATGCGTCACGCACCACCCAGTACAGCGCTGCGTGGCCCCAAGACAGCTCCACAGACGGCCCCAGTGGCACCGCCCGCATGCGTCACGCACGACCCAGCACGCGTGCGTCCCGCACACCCAGTACAGCGTTGCGTGGCCCCATAGCCCCACCGAAGGTCCCAGTGGGACCGCCCGCATGCGTCGCCCCCACCCAGGACGACGTTTCGTGGCCCCATAGGGAGCCCCACCGAAGGTCCCAGTGGGACCACCCTCATGCGTCCCGCACACCCAGTACAACGTTTTGTGGCCCCATAGGGAGCCCCACCGAAGGTCCCAATGGGATCGCCCGCATGCGGCCCGCACACCCAGTACAGCGTGTCGTGGCCCCGTAGGGAGCCCGACCGATCCGTGGCCCCATAGAGAGCTCCACCGAAGGCCCTACTGGCAAAGTTCACATGCGTTTCACCCACCCAGCACAACGTTTCGTGGCCCAGAAGGAGCTCCACCGAAGGCTCCAGTGGCAAAGTCCGCATGCGTCTCCCCCACCCAGCACAACGTTTCGTGGCCCATGGGAAGCTCCATCGAAAGCCCCAGTGGCAAAGTCCGCATGCGTCTCGCCCACCCAGCACAACGTTTCGTGGCCCATAGGGAGCTCCACTGGAGGCCCCAGTGACAAATTTCGCATGCGCCTCCCCCATCCAGCACAAAGTTTCGTGGCACATAGGGAGCTCCACCGGAGGCCCCAGTCAAAGTCCGCATGAGTCTCCCCCACCCAGTGCAGCGTTTCGTGGCCCCATGAGGAGCTCCACAGAGTACGATACCCATAATTGCGGTATTGACAACTACATATGGTTGGGTTTTTCGCCAGGCTAATCTTATTTTTCGTCCAAAATCCCCCTGCAGGGGGGGGCATGCCCGACCTAAGACTAGGCCATTATGCTCACCCCCGGGGGCAGCCCTTCATGGTGGCAACCTTGCACGCATGGTGGTGTGAAGGGGGTGGGTGGGTCTCGTAGGGGGGTGGTTGTCGCGGGAGGAGGGACGGCGCGGCCGCGCCCGAGAGGAGTGGGAGAGCGGGGGTGTTCGAAGGAGCAGGAGGGAAGGAGGAGGAGGAAGAGGAGGAGGAGGAGGAGGATCGAGGAGGATCGAGGATTTCAAACGAACTGCATGGGTATGCCGTGGGAGGTGCGAGGATGATCGAGGATGCGCAAGCATCGATTCAGGCGCGTAGATCAGCGGCGGGCCCTGTTTTCGTGCAGAATCGGCGCGGCCCACTGCCAACTCGGGCGGCACTGGCCACATGTTTCGGGTGGGATTTTTCCCGATCCGTGTGAGCGCGTGCCTGCACGGGGGAACTAGGGGGAGGCAAGGATCCAGATTCCGACAGACAGGGGGCGGTCATGAGGTACTGGGATAGCGATGAGGATGCTGACGATCGGGTGATTCAATGGCCTACGGCCCATCCCGCCACCGTGCCTGGGTTGTGGGTGTGAAATCCATTAGATTTTCGTTGGGTTCTCGTGGGAGGCTTCTCGGGGGCCTCTTGGAGGCATTTGGGACCCTTCTTGCGGGCCGTTTTGGGACGTCTTGAGGCCCCTTGTGGGCCTCTTGGTGGCCTCTTAGGGGCCTCTTGGGTGCCTCTTGGGGGCCTCTTGGGGCCTCCTGGGCGCCTCCTGGGGACCTCCTGAGGGCCTCTTGGGGCGCGGAAGGTTCGGAGTTTCGGTTCGTGCTCCCTCTCCTGGGTCCCCTGAGGGCCGTCCAGGGGCCCTCTTCTGGGCTGGCTTGGGCGCATCCCGGGCCGTCTTGGGGCCCTCTTGGGCCGTCTTGGAGGCCTCCAGGGCCGTCGGGGAGCGTAGGGAAGCCGTAAGGAGGATCCTTGATTTTGGCTTTGGGGGCCCTCTCGGGAGCCCTCTTGGAGGCCTGTGGGGGCATTTTGAAGCCCTCTTGGGCCGTCGGGGGGCCATCTTGCGCATCGGGGGGTGCTCTTTCCGCGACTCGTGGCCCTCTTGAGCCGTCTTGGGCCCCTCTTGGGGCCCTCTTGGCCCGTCCTGGGTGGGGGGGGGGGGGCGCAAACGTCACGCGCCGCCACGCGGGGGAGCCCAGGAGGCACGCCAGGTGCCCCAAGAGAGATTTGAGAATTGTGGGGGGTCCGGGCCCCTGAGGGACTTCTCGGGAGTGAGGATTGAGGCTGAGAGGATTACAGTCGGCCTCGATTTATAGGTCGACCCTGCCAAGTCAAGGGTAACCTTGTGTCCGGTCTTTAGGGGCCCGTGCCTTTTACATTCCTATGTCAGTGTAGCCGCCGGAAAGGTCTTGTGTCCTCTCGCGTGTCCTCTCCAATCAAGTCCGACTGTAGGAAAGGACCTGAGGACACGTGCACGCCCACTCCGTGCCCACAGGAACGGTGGCGGACGATGAGGGTCAGGAGGACCGAGGGTGGGTTGACAGGAGGAGAGTGCGGGGGGAGGAGAAGATGGAGGTGGAATAGGTGGAGCCACAGAAGGGAGTTTCAGTCAGGAGGGGCGAGGAAGGAGGGAGGATGATTCAGGGCTGAGGAGGAGGAGGAGGAGGAGGAGGAGGAGGAGGAGGAGGAGGAGGAGGAGGAGGAGAGTGGGACAGATAGGAGGGGACGGGGAGAAGGCGATACGGGGAAGAGGG